GTCGGAAATTGGAACATATCCTCACTCAGAGGAAAAGAACATGAATTAGTTGACGAGGCCACGAAGTACCGACTCGACATTGCTGGACTCTCGTCAACAAAACGCCAAGGCGCTGGACTCCTGAACCTCAACGGATAGAACCTTTTCTACTCAGGCGTCGATATCACGACTCGTACGACTCGCGCTCACACAGGTGTTGGTGTTCTGGTGGAACCCAACCTCGTGAATAGAATCAATGATTGGAAGCCTGTCAGCGGAAGAGTGGCAATCCTCCGACTGAAGCTACAACAGACTAAGTCGGTGACCTTGGTACAGGTTTATGCATCCAATTTTGAGGGAGAATATGAGACCTTCCTTGAGGAAGTGCAGTGGGCTCTGTCCGAAGTGCCGAATACAGAGTCCATCATAGTGGTGGGCGATTTTAATGCGCATGTCGGAGTAGACGCTGAAAAGTGGAAAAGCTGCTGAAATTGGTGTAATCCGCCCTGAAACACTCAAAGCATTAGGCGAGCATGGAATGTGCTGGCTTAGCATGTCCGTAAAACTGCAATGGCTGCAGAGAAGACACCAGCGGACTGGAGAACGTGTTCAAGCTTCCCTGTTCAAGAAGAGAGTGCTCCAATTACCTTGACAGTACCCTAGGGGGTGATTGAGCCTCTCGAGTAAAGTCTAAGCAAAGGTGCTAGGAAGGAGGTATCGCAGAATGGCTCACTCTAGAATACAAGAAGATCAGTATGGCTTCAAATCAACCTGAAACATTTCTGACCAGATCTTCACCTTACGTCTGGTCGTTGAAAAATGGTGAGAGTTCGGTTATCCGGTTTATGTTTATTTGCCGACCTTGAGAAAGCCTATGTGCGGAACAAGTGCAACTGGCTGGGAGGTGCTTGTGAACTTATGGGAACGGTCGTCAGTTTTTAAAATCCATCCAATCTGTGTATGTTGATAGCAGGTATTGCGTCAGAGTAAATGTCCGAAGTCGAAATCGTTCATTATTGGCACCGGTTTCCGCCAAAGCTGCGTCATGTCCTCTATCCTGTTTGTGCTGTACATGGATGGAATAGTCAGGAGCTGCCAAGGCAATGAGTGTATCGACGTAGGAGATGCCGAGACGAGGACGCTGTTGTTTGCAGATAACCTTGCTTGTTGGCCTGCTCTGAAGCTGATCTCCAGCGCTCTTTGGCAATCTTCACAGCTGAGTGCGACGCTTAGGGCATGTGTTGACGTATCTAGAACGAAAAACCTCTTCTTCTTCCACCCTTTTTCTCTAGAGATAAATTGAGAAGCAGTAGAGCAGGTGTGTAAGTTCAAGTAAATCAGGGTTGTGAAGCCGTGCAGTAGCCAGCGTTCTACGTGAACTAGCCCGAACCGTTGTGACTAAAGTAGAGCTGAGTCTGAGGACTGAAGTTCTGTTGTTCAAGTCGACCTTCATCCCCATGCCTACCTACGGTCATTCGTCCTGGATCATCACAGAATAACTCTGATTCCGGGTACAAGCGGCTGAAAGAGGCTTTCCAGACGAGTCGCTGGCCTTACGAATCTCGACATGGTGTGGAGTACAGAAATCCATCAGAACATCGCAACCGCTGCTTCTTCAGATTGAGTCACAGCTGCGATGGTTTGGATATGTGCGTGTGTAGGGGGAGGGGGGGTAGAGGGGGCGGAGGGTGTGAATGCTTACAAAAAGGAAGGTTCAGAAGCTGCTACTTGCCCAAGTAACAGACAGAATAACCATGGGACGGGACGGCCAAAGTTAACCTGGTGCAAGTGTATTGAAGGTGTCTGCTTTAGCCTGCAGTTTGTTTCTGTTGAAGCTCAGATGCTGGCACAGGCTAATAGTGAAGTCGTCATGGAAAAAGAAAAGAACTGGATCCTGTTTTGCTGTCATCGTCTTCAAGGCGTTCGGTTCGATTGAACCGACGTCTGTACTGAATTGTGGATAGATACTGCTTATGTCAATTTGGTGGAGGAAATAAACACAGGTTGCACGATTGATATTAAGCAGTTCAGTGAACCATGTCGGAACCGTGTTCATCGAGGAATGCGCCTTGGTAGTCATCAAGGATTACAGCTTCACAAGCACTCTTCACCGCGTTCATGGAGTAACTCTTCAACTGGCTAAATTTGTCACAGCACTAATATTGATGGAGAACAGCCAGCGCGGGTTTTGCTTGTGGATTGTATGGTCTTCGCACAAGATAAGATGGCGCCGCACCAGAAGATCCAGCGGTTGCAAGACGAATGTCTCACCATCAGATTGAAGGCCAACGTCTGCAGCACGAAATGAATACAAAACTGGCACTGCCTTGAGGGCTCTACCTAGAAAATGATACGAAGAACTAGAGGCAGTCACTAGCTATGTATATTTTGGCCGTCGCTGGACTGTCTGAACATTAGACGAAGAAGTTAATAGAATATGGAAGATGGCATGGGGAATCTTTAATCGTATCAAAACAGCATTATTCGTTTGTGAATTGCCGATGCATAGACTGTTCGACTAAACCATCCTTTCGAACATGATCCAAAGCTGAAAAAGAACAGAATAATGGCCATTGAGAATGATGCAGCAGAATAGACTTGTGTGGGATAGCGGATTTATGAAGCACAGGAAGAAGTAGTTAAAATACAGATTTGAATAAACGACTAGCTCGATTTTGGAGAAATTGCTCGCAAGGTTACTGAGCATGTACAATAGAAAGCCCCTGATCAACCTGACTGGTTTAAGGGATTTGGTAGAGCTTCTACTTATAGTGCAAAAAGGGCCAGTCACATGCACTTCGAAATGCCTAGCGTCTTTTTGAACGAATACCTAAATAGTCTGATTAGGTCATGTCGGTGGTCTCAAAGCTATATAAGCGATCACATTAATTGCTGAAGCAAATGAGATGCTGATGAAAAAGTGACTCCCCACGCGTTGTTCCCTTCTCAACTTTTTGGGATGAATTTTTTCCTCCTTCTCCGTGGCGCTGTGCAT